AGCATTAAGCTACGTACAAATTGATCGGTAAGATTTACAAGAAGTTGAAATCGAAATCCGCCACAAAAAATAAAAAAGAACATCGAACATCAACAACTCACTTTTCAGCGGTTTGCGTCACCTTAGACATGAAATCGCGTAGGCGAATCGACGCATGACAAAGGATTATGAATAATGGGAGTAGCACGCTTAAATACATAAAATAATATAATCATCTAACCAAATGTCTAACACGTGAACTCGAAAAATGCCAAATGTAAAAATATTTGAGCATGAAAAAAGAAAGAGAATAGGCAAAGAATAGGCACTACCTGAAGAGCACCGTGAGTACTGATGGTAACACTTGAATGAAGAAGTAACAAGATAGGATTATCGCACCGAGAGTTATCAGTGGATGATCGCGACGAGTCTAAAAAATGAAATATAGCTGCGACCAGGGTCATCCTTTCATCGATAGGAGTTAGGAATCAAATTCTATGGCTTCAGGGAGGTGATCGTATTTGACCAGATAAGATCGTGTTTCTAAAAACAAGGGGATAGGAAAGAAGTTGGGAAAAGTTGTGCGCAACTGAGAAAAATCTGGATATTCTGGAAAGCGGCAGTGAGTTCTCTTATATGAGAATGTAATTTAAAAGAACCATTTCAATTTTTGGATGAATACAACTATAACTAGTGCAGTGAAAAAATTAAGAAAGGATGAAGAGAAAAATAACAAAACGTATAAGTTAGTGTTAAGGGAAAATACGATAGAATACCGGGTTACTAACCTGATAAAAAGTCGGATTATCCGTAATTGCAAAGCTGACTACAGCTGCAACCACTACTATAGCAGACAAACCAAGTGCTAAGTCCTGCAAAGCAAAATTCCAAATCTAAACAAAAGATAACCATTTAGCAGAATACAGAAAATAAATGTATCCAATATACCTGTGAATTGAAGAAACTCTGTAAAATAAATAGCACTCCAAAGACGACAAAGTAGTTAGTTTGATAGTAGAGGAGGTTTGAAATGATGCGATTGTT